CTTGAGGGTATTATGGCCATTTTAGTATTTATTTTTGATGACATCAGCAGCTTCGGTTAGTTGGGTGGACAACAGTACAAAAATGAGAGAATCTTCATATTGTCAGTTAAAGTAGGGCAGAATTCTATAATTATTAAAATTACATGAGAGATTTCTGTATTTGTCAAACATATCTAGGGAGGTAAGTGTAATTTACCAAATACAAAAACAAGCAGAAAATGCAAAAAAGGAGAAAAGGAGATGACTGTGAAGTTTTGTAAAGTGAAAATAAGATAAAATATAGGCTGCAGTGTCAATCTTCTTTACATATCAGGTGGCCATTTTATTGTTTTGTTTTGTTTTGTTTTGTTTTGTTTTGAACATTGTTTTGGTGAAAAAATCAACGATAGTTTTGTAGGTCAAAGTGAGTTGGAAGGTTGTGTATTTACTTGCACTCTATTTCATAGTTGTTTATGAACAGTATTGCTTTACAACAAAGGAAATTAAAGCCTCTGTTTGATTTTATGATTTAATTTATAATTTTTTGCAAACACCAATTTGTACTGAAATCGTCAGTTCGAAGTGACCACTTACTGTATTAAAAAACCAATCATCAGAAAACAATTTACTGTGGTGATGTGACAACTCACTGTATTACTGATTAATTTGACAACTCACTGCTCGAATATGAAGGGATTGCATTGTGAAAAAGACGACCCACAATTATGATTTTATCTGACAACCACGTCCGTGACTGCATCACAGGTACACAAAGTCACGGATACTCAGGATTGCATGAAATGAATAAGATAAAATAATATCACGAATATCACTTCTTCCACAGTGCCCCAACATGTCAATTATTGTCACCAGGTCATCTCTTTTGCATGTCTACAAATAGCGCTACCCCCAGTATGATGTTTGTTCAAGTTATAACAATAGTAATATATCTACAATTACTATTATTATTAATTTTTTTTTTTTATGAACAATGTCTTCAAGAGGTGCAGGAAGTTCACGCCGTCAAAGAAATCCGAAAGTGTGGCTACTACCTCTATTTACTTATGACTATAAGAGCAACAAGTACTCGAGTCTAAAGGATTATTATGCTGGTATCCGAGCAGAATGGGCGTTCAGGGTAACGGAGCAAGAATGATTGTTTAATGATCTACGTAACTTTGGGGCATCGATACCTCATCGTCGTTCATTGACCATGGCTAGACGAAATGTGAGTGACTATGAAAAAGCAGTTAGCAGAATTAAGAAAGAGAACAACAGAATGTTGATACGGAGATGTCGACATTTCATGCTTCAGCTAGCCACCGAAATGGCAGAAGCAAGCAACAGAGAATTGACAGTGATTGAGCGAAATAATGTCTTAAACAATGAAAAATATCTCTCTGACTACTACATGTCAGATAAGGAATGAGAAATCAAACACCTTTATCTTTCATATATGTTTGTATGTTGTGTCGTATCTTCGTTACTGAAGTTTAAGATAATGTTGTTGTTCATCTAGCTTACGGATGTATTTCAACTATTTGTTATATGAACCTGAAGTTTATGAAATCACTACATTTATAAGTACACATGTCAACATTCGTTACGAATTTCTCTTCTTGTTGATAACTCATGTATAAGCATTACAAAGCCATTACAATGAATGAAAACGTTTGGTCTTATATGCAACCAAGTTCATTCAGTATCATCATTATATTCCACATCAATAATGCATGAAATCATGAAAGCCTAGTTCAATTAGCGTTCTTCAAAGTAACAATAACGGAGAGAAAGCAAAGGTATTTGTTATTTGTAGAATTACAAGAACTATCCAAAAACTATTTAAATTTCTCTCTTTATTGATAAGTCGTGGATAAGCATTACAAATCCATTACAAGATAAATGGTTTGGTCATTCATCCAAACAATTTCATTCATTATCATCATCATCTAACATCTTAATATTAGATTCATATATAACATCCATGCTCCAGGTGAAGTATTGGTGCACATCATCCATTAACCCATCTTCGGCACGCTCATTTGCGGTCTTCATTAGTTTGGACCTTTGCAAACGTTGGGTCATGCGATTAACTTCGTTGCGGATACGATGCAATGCCCTTTGCAATAATTGTGGAGTGCTAATTGGCATACGCATGGCTAACTGGTGAGGAAATTTAATATTAACTTCACGACATAGCTCAACGAGAACGTTTGCTCGATTTTTGCGAAATTCCCACTCAGCTCTCATGGTATTGATGGTGGCATGTAAGTAACGCAAATTTGGATTTATTGGGTATTGAAATTCATCTCAATCTGCAACCCAATGGTGACCCATTGCTGAATATGGATCAACCACTATATATCTCATGATGATATCGCTCGAAATAGCTATAAAACTTTTGTTGTGGTATCATGCGATATTTATACCACATATACACGTGGTAGCTGTACGTTTGAAATTATTGTAAACAACTATGCATCAGAATTGTCTCGTCAACTTTTATAACCCGAACAACTGTGCATCAACTTTATAGGAGTTGTCACTTCGACTTTTATTTACTACTCAGTTCATATCTGAAGATTTTAAGCAACTTTCAAATCCGCTTAGAAATTTAATTTCATTTTTCCGCTTGCAAATATAATTCACTTTATTTTGCCTTGACAATATATTTAATTTCACTTTTCACCTTACAGATTTCATTTAATTTAATTGGAGAAATTTGACCAATTTAATTTCAAGTTAACTATGTGTTGATTTAAGTCGGTGTTGTTCTTATCTGCATATTAGGCTAGCTTTTATCTATAACACTTTCAAGTTCTATACATCGAAAAACCCATTCATTCTAACTCTACTAAAAATTAATCTTCAATACATTCTAACTCTATAATATTTTTTCTTCAAGGTTTATGAATCTATTTGGAGCTGCATAAGGTGACTTTTTTAACACAAAGGGTCTAACTGTTTTGTTGTTTTGTTCTGACACCCCTTCATCCCATTATGAATTGCAGAAATTCACATGGGCACAAATAATAATAATAATAATAATAATAATAATAATAATAATAATAATAATAATAATAATAATAATAATAATAATAATAATAATAATAATAATAATAATAATAATAATAATAATAATAATAATAATAATAATAATAATAATAATAATAATAATAATAATAATAATAATAATAATAATAATAATAATAATAATAATAATAATAATAATAATAATAATAATAATAATAATAATAATAATAATAATAATAATAATAATAATAATAATAATAATAATAATAATAATAATAATAATAATAATAATAATAATAATAATAATAATAATAATAATAATAATAATAATAATAATAATAATAATAATAATAATAATAATAATAATAATAATAATAATAATAATAATAATAATAATAATAATAATAATAATAATAATAATAATAATAATAATAATAATAATAATAATAATAATAATAATAATAATAATAATAATAATAATAATAATAATAATAATAATAATAATAATAATAATAATAATAATAATAATAATAATAATAATAATAATAATAATAATAATAATAATAATAATAATAATAATAATAATAATAATAATAATAATAATAATAATAATAATAATAATAATAATAATAATAATAATAATAATAATAATAATAATAATAATAATAATAATAATAATAATAATAATAATAATAATAATAATAATAATAATAATAATAATAATAATAATAATAATAATAATAATAATAATAATAATAATAATAATAATAATAATAATAATAATAATAATAATAATAATAATAATAATAATAATAATAATAATAATAATAATAATAATAATAATAATAATAATAATAATAATAATAATAATAATAATAATAATAATAATAATAATAATAATAATAATAATAATAATAATAATAATAATAATAATAATAATAATAATAATAATAATAATAATAATAATAATAATAATAATAATAATAATAATAATAATAATAATAATAATAATAATAATAATAATAATAATAATAATAATAATAATAATAATAATAATAATAATAATAATAATAATAATAATAATAATAATAATAATAATAATAATAATAATAATAATAATAATAATAATAATAATAATAATAATAATAATAATAATAATAATAATAATAATAATAATAATAATAATAATAATAATAATAATAATAATAATAATAATAATAATAATAATAATAATAATAATAATAATAATAATAATAATAATAATAATAATAATAATAATAATAATAATAATAATAATAATAATAATAATAATAATAATAATAATAATAATAATAATAATAATAATAATAATAATAATAATAATAATAATAATAGATTGAATAATAATAATAATAATAATAATAATAATAATCAACAGTGGTGGAGCGGTTGTGCTTATAAAAGCGTGGTTACGAACCACGCTTTCCTTTTGGTTAAAAGCGTGGATGCTAACCACGCTTTCCTTGGTCAACAGTAAAAGCGTGGATGCTAACCACGTTTTCTGAAAAAAAACAAATTTTATTTAAAAGCGTGGTTCGTAACCACGCATTCTATACAAATGAAATTTCCTTAAACGCGTGTTTTGTAACCACGCATTCTTAATTAAAAGCGTTGTTTGTAACCATGCTTTTATGATTTCACCGATTTTTCGCAGTTGGGTCACAAAAATGGTGAAAATGTGATTTGTAATAGCGTTTCAGCTTATTTTGGGAATTCCGTCCAAACTAGGCCTAGTTTGGGAAATAGGTTGGTATTTTAGCTTATTTAGGGAAAAGCCCCGAAAGCTGAAGCCATGAAAAATAAAAATTATATGCTTTGGCTAAAATTACACGCCAATCAAATAGAGCATCAAGGAAATTAGTAACCAATGGAATTGCTGAGACGGAGAGCTAGAAGAGTCAACGCATGACTTTATCTTGAATAAAAAAAAAAAAAAAAAAAAAACATGACTAAAAATAAAAAAAATTAACAAGATTAGCTTTATAAGTCAACTAAAGCTTGCACCACATCATACCCAGGAATTCAACACTTCCATCGAATTCCCAATCGACAAAGATGGTGCGGTATACCACTAATAAGAGGTCAACAATGCACCAGTGTGGTCAGCAAGCAGATAAACCTTCAAGCCTCCAGAAACAGCATCAATTCCATCAATTTCTATTGCTGTAAAACATGAAGAATTAACATAGTTTAGCAAAAATTCCAACAATTGCACAAAATCAATCAAACTGGATCAAAGCAGAGTAATTACTTTTCCAGTTTCAGGAACTTCAGGAACTTTGTATATATCCGCGGTGATTTCTGTCAACCACAAGCCCGGAAAAAGACACTGCAGAGAAATCAATAGAACAGTAAATTACGCAATTCAATCAAATCACAAATTGAGAAACAAAGAAAGTTGAGAAGAAATAGAATTTGAAATTTATAATTGATTAGATTTCACTTACATCAAGCTGTTCTTGCACAATCTTTCACCTCGGATTATAAATACAACTTCACTTAAAATATGAATTGTCTTTTATAATTTAAAAAATTATAAATATTTATATGTTATAATTTTTTATTTAATAAAATTATCTAAAAATATAAAATTTCTAACTGTTTATCTATACAATAATAAAATTATTTGAATTATTAATTAAAATAAAATTTTAACATTATTAAAAATTGTTAATTAGCTTGATGATTTATTAATAAAATTACCTATTTGTTATGAAATTGGAAACCGCAGGGGGTAAAATGTAATTTATAGAACCACATGGGGTAATTTGTAATTTAAGTAAATCTCAAGAGGTGTGTTTATAATTTACCCTAAAATTAGACGTGAGCATAGTTCAGATTGGGATAAAATTAGGACCAATTCATTATCTACAGTTCCTGAAAAATTAGAACCAATCTAATCATTTAAATCGTGGAACCAATTCGAACCAATCCATTTAAATACGAATTTGATTGGTTTAAAATCACGGATTCACATAATTAAATAACAAAAAATAGTATAGAACATTTTAATTTCATGAAAATATAAACATAGTATCATATTAGTTTCACAATGGCAACATGTTTTTCCATAATAGGGACATGCTGTTCTAGAATTTAAACAACCATAAAAAAAACTGGTTCCACCATAAGTATTTAAACTATTACAAATTCAAACTAAAAACTAACAAATAAAAGCAATAAAAAAAAGATATTATGCGGGTTTAGGTTTGAGTTTAAATTTTATATGGAATAATAGAAGATACTATGCAAGAGGGTGTATAGTATAAATATAGGTTATTTGTATACGGTTTAGATCGGTTCCAATTCGGAATTGTGGGGTTCAATTCGGAACCGATCCGTGGACTACGAATTTTTAATTTTTTAATCTGGAACCAAATCATGGATTCAAAAAACCAATCTAAATCTACCGGATTGGACTGGATCGGATCGGATTACAGATTTCACAAATTCCTTACTCAGCCCTAATTAAAATTGGGAACATATATAGGATTAGTGAAAGGGTCTCGTGAATTGGATTGAGAATAGTAAAATTTTAATTTTTTTTTATAAAAAATAAGATAAAAATATAAATTAGGATGACACATTTTAAAAACAAGAGAAAATAGTTGAAACATTCGATTTAAAGAGAGTATAAAACATTCGGTCCAGTGAATATTTTTTGTTAGTGAAAGGTCTACCATTTGTGAAATAATTTGGTGAAAAGTTCTTTTTATTGTTTAGGAGGATATTTTATTTTTAATTTTATCCCTTAATTTATCTGTTTTTGACTAAATGTTCAAATATAAATATATCCGTTCAAATTATTTTTTATCTATTTAATTTCTTAACTATCTGTTCAAATAGTTTTCCTTTTCTATTGAAATTCTATCATTTTTTTCCCTAAATTATATTTTTAATTTTTTATCTGTTCAAATTTTGAACAGATCTTTAACAACAAAAAAAAAACTACATTCCACTATCAATTCAACAATAACAACAGCAACTACCCAAAAAAAAAAAAAAACTCTACAACATAGGAATTTATGATCTTCTCAAACAACATTCAAAGCAACTTACAGAGAGAGATATATACATACATACATAAATATATATATGAACACAAGAATGTCACATACATATACAAATATATACATAAGTATGAAAACATAAATTTTTATTGGGCATATACAACAGCCACCAAATAGTTCCAAGAAAGTTCACATGAAGTATTGCACGGTCCATATCAGCTATTATAGAGGCTATTTGCTTTAACATAAAGCATTGATTAACAACTACTTGGTACATATGTATATATATATATATATATATGAAATCATGAATACATATACACACACACGCATATATATATATATGATCGGGGAAGACCGGTGAAGATTGGTATGAGAAGATCGGTTATACTCCAATCTACGATCGAGGAAGATCTATGAAGTTTGATGAAGATGGAGGATGAAGAGAAGAGAGAGAGAGAGAGAGAGAGAGAGAGAGAGAGAGAGAGAGCAGCAGTAGCAACAGAGGTGTTAGCGATGACAGTGGTGGTCGCGGCAGTCATGGATTTGGTGTTGGAATCTTTGTTGCATCGCCGAAAAATGGTTCTTGTGAAGTTGGAGGCCATGGACTTAACGGAGGATCACCATGGTTCTCTCAATAAGCGATCTAAGCTCTTATCTCATGTTTTGGTTGATGCTGGTAGACTCTTGCTAATGCCGCCGATCATGGCGGCAATATTATGCAACTACAACGAATGTGTAAGGGAGAGAGAGTGAGAGATAGAGTAAAGAGAAAAGAGAGAGTAAAGAGAAAGGACTGGGAATATTAGGGTTTGAAATAAGGATACTTGTTGAAAAGTCCAAGCGAATGATAGTATAAAACATTAGGTCTATACGATATTTTTTGTTAGTGAGAGGTCCATTATTTGTGAAATAGTTTGGTGAGATGTCCTTTTGTTTGTTTTAAAAGACATTTTGTTTATAATTTTACTCTTAATTTATCTGTTGACTTTCGTTGACTATTTGTTCAAAACTTTTCCTATCTGTTCAAACTTTTTCTTATCCATTCAAAATATTTTCTTATTTATTAAAATTTTTTCCCCTATCTGTTCAAATTTTTTCTTATCTATTGAAAACATTTTCTTATCTATTAAAAATTTTTCCTATCTAATAAAAATTTTCCCCTATCTGTTTAATTTTTTTCTATTTGTTCAATTTTTTTTTACCCTATTTGTTTAATTTTTTAACTATCTGTTCAATTTTTTTCCTTATTTGTTCAAATTGTTCATATGCATATTGATGATGCTACAATATCAATAGCGTATCGGACGGACTAGCCCACGTCTTTAACGAGTTTGTTAGTTCATGAATCCTTGATGCATGCCTACAAAAAGGTCCAAATGGGGAAGTAGTCCCTTAACGAACACTCCAACGATCAAGTTAGGTTAAGGTAAATAGTAATTGTTTTTAGAGAGAGAGAAATGGGATGAAAACTTAATCTCTAACGCATATCAAAAGCTTCTTTATATCTTTTGCTCATCATTTCCTTGTCCATTCCAAGCTGTCTTGTCAGCCGAAAGTCTATAGCCTAGTTGACATCGTTCATAGTGATTCTGCATACTTCGACGTGAGGGGTCTTGTTGCATTTAATGCTATAGTGGCCTTATTAAATGGCTGATGTATGGGTACAATAACTTTGCAGGATCTTTGTCTGCTTACATAGTTAATTTCCTACCTGATAAATGTGTGAATGCTATTGGTCCTGGCCCATCATTGGCATCTCAGAGTTACTAGGCTTTAATACCTAGGTCATGAGTTGGGCCCTACTATGAGCTGGACCCTGAGCCGTGGGCTGGGCCTTCTTGAGTGCCTATCAGTATCACATACAAAGATAGATAGATAGATAGATAAAGAGAGAGGTCCTACTTCAAATTCTCAACAATGGCTATATGTTCAATGTTTTAAACATCATTTAACTAAAATCATGGCTATCTGTTCAAATTTTATTTGTCTAATTTTTCATCTATATAAACTTTTTTATCTGCTTAAATAGATTTGATCTGTCATATTGAAACAGGTCTGATCTTTTGTTTTATCTGTTGAAAATTAATTGAACAACAGATCTGATCTTTCTCCCTATCTCTCTTTCCACCAACCACTATCTGTTTCAAATGAAAATTGATGTTCAATTCAAATGCATGAAACGCAGTGCCAAAATCACCATTACTCCATAAGAAGAAGAAGAAAGTAGAAGGAAATCGAGGATGTTAAAGATAGAGTGAGGACACAACCATTCAATTCAATGACTGTAAATACATTTGTCAAATTATGATATACATATATTGGATATGCATTTTTATGTATCAATGTGTGTGTAGATTACTTTGATTTCACATGTTTGGTACCTCAGGATCATGAACTTGGAGAAAGTAAGGAGATGCGACATGGAAGAGGCCGCTAACACCATTGATGGAGGTAAATATGGAGATGTGGTCGAGAAGATCTATTGGAAAGAAACGATACCTCATTTTTATTTCTCTTAGGACTTTCAAGTGCTTCGTTTCTTGCTCATTCTCTTTTCACAACCCCGCCCCAAAAAAAAAGGGTAAATTACATTTACCTCCCCTGAGGTTTTTAACAAATACAGGGACCTCACCTGTGGTTTGAATAATTACAGTAACCCCCTCACTTTACCTGACAATGTCGAGATTCTCCAAAAATTTGATAGCCGTTTATACACCTAATAGACCCTGCTGATGTAATCAAATGTAAACAAGAAAATGCCCATAATGCCCTCAACCCATCTATATATACCAAATGGTAGAGTTCTTCAGCTTCAACAAATCCAAGTGAAAGAGGGAAAGTTACAGAGGCATCCAAAATTGAAGAACAACAAAAAGGAGATAATAGAGGTCCAAGCACAACACTGGTATGTTCCTACTCACATGAACTATTTTAAAATAAAATAAAAAATTGCATGTGAATAACAACTAACTAGTCCAAAAAAATAATAATAATAATTTCAAAGCACAAAGCACAAACATCATGAATCATTCTGGACAAATAAAGCACAAACATCAAACATCCAACACAGGTATGTCCCATTATTCAGAAATAAAGCACAACAACAACAAAATGCAATATATGTTCTAAAAATGCATTATAACTCTCACATTTCATGAATGTAGGTTCATTGGATGGATATGTCATCATCGAGTAATGGAGGAGCGGTGATGAAATATAGAAGCAAGCTCTGCTACTGTGGGAGAAAAACAACAATTAAAGTCACTGAATCTGGAAAAAAAAAAGAGGCAAATTGTATTATTTATGCCCAAATGGGAAATGGGCATTTTGGGACTGGTGCAAACTAGTAAACTCATCTGTTGGAGGAGAAATGATGATGGAAGACACTTAAGCAACTGTTAACAGACACACTTCATCCTATGAAGAAGAAAGTCATTGAATGAATTTAATGAACCCAATGGGGGCTATGCAAACAAGGATGCAAGTACTTGAAGCAAACATGGGGTTTATGAAGATAATAATGATCATGAATGTTGTTTTATGTTTGATTTCCCTAATGGTTGCTCTCAAAATGTAATGGTAATGATTTACCTAATGTTTTATAATGGACCTTATGTAAGGTTTTGTAATATTTTGTAATAGACCTTATGTTTTGTAATGCAATATGTTTTGTAATGGACCATATATAAATATGATGAAGTTATTTCAGCGTTATGTAAATATGCACATCTAATTTGACTAACATAACAACCTGTAAACATAAAGACCATTCCATTCCATCATCTAAACATCAAGTAGGACTATTTAATTACATCATGATTGTTCTCAAATATGTTCAATTAGTTTACTTACACCATTCCTATCAGATTTGTTCCGTTACATCATTCCATAGATCATATTTGTCAAGTCTATGCAATTACATCATCTACATTCCCAAAATGAGTATTTATAAAATACTTCATTGCCACTACCAAAAAACAAAAGTGGCAACATTCCATGGACCATATTTGTCAAGTCTATGCAATTGCATCATCTACATTCCCAAAATGAGTATTTATAAAATACTTCATGGCCACTACAAAAAAAAAAAAAAAAAAAAATTATAAAATACTTAATGAAAAAAAAAAAAAAAAAAAAAGTGGCCACATCATCAGATTGTTATTCTTAGCATTGCATGTCTACTACAAAAATACAAAAAAGTGGAACATGATCCTCACTAACTATACAGTTAAGAAACATATATTTTATACCTTCAACCTATGTTAATCCTTGTACCCAAAATATCAACAGCTTAGCTAAGTCATCTGCACAAAAAAAAAGTCAAACAAACAAACAAATAAACAAAAATGCAATGTTGGATTCATGCAAGTGAAAAAATAAGAAAATAATTTCATTGTAGCTTCATAACTAAGTTCATAACTAACATGATGTTGTGTGACCTGTGTCACACACTGAGTAGGCATTGGAGGGGTCCTTCTTGGAATATCCTAAATTGAAAACCAAAGTAAGGTAATAAATATGCATATCAATATCATAAATGGATAGACAAAATATATAAATATCACAAATGAAAAGGCAAAACAAATAGAAAAAACTTACTTGTGCATGCTTGGCCTTGCCCTTGCCTCTCCTACTTGAACTTCCATTCCCAGTTGAACTTCCTCTTGTAGTTGTATTTCCCCTTCCAGCTGAACTGTCCCTTCCACTTGAATTGCCTCTACCACTTGCATTTCCCCTCTCAGCTGAACTACCTCTCCCACTTGAATTGCCTCTACTTTTGCCCCTACTCACAGATCTGCCACTACCCCTACCAGTAGTTTTAGCACTGCCTCTACCACTGGATGTGCCACTGCCCTTACCAGCAGTAGATACTCCACCCCTGACTGGACCTCTTTGGCAAGTTCTCTTGTTGTGTCCAAATTGCATGCACCATTTGCATCTCAAGGTACTAGACCTTGTGCTTTGACTTGTTCCAACTGGTGGCTCATGAAGTCCTTGGCCTTTTTGGCAATCTTTTCAGAGGTGGGGGTTGTACAGGGTCCCTAGGTATAAGTGTCCACATGCTATAGTATAAGATGGGATGTATCATTCCACCATTGGCTCTTAAGTAAGTTGCCTTAGAATAGTAAGGGTGGACAAAATCTTCTATGTTTAACCTACTGTGAGAAATTGCAGCCACAACATGCTTGCATGGAAGACCAAATATTTCCCACTGTCTACATACACAAGTCATAGCCCCAATATGGGCAATGTGATTAACCCCCTCATTATCCTTCACCTCATACTCATTGCCTCCCGTATACTCAACTGTGCAAGTTCTTGACCATTTCAGTGTGACCTCAAGCTGTTTCTTCATATTCAATGTCACATTAGATTTCCATTGCATTGCCTTTTGGTACATCATCTGAAACTTACCCATCAACTTGTACCTTATGCCCTCTAACATAGTTAAAATTGGCTGAGTTCTCAAAGTTCCTAACCAATTGTTGAATTATTTGTGATGTGATCACTCCTGGAACCTTCTGCAACCAAATGAAAGCATCATTGTTTAGGTCCTTAATGGCTTGCATAGCCTGATCACACTCCATCTGATTGTAGGCCCTTGCTGCCTTTCAAAATTGTTTCCTCAAAATTAAACTAGGAAATTTGGCTCTGAAAGTGTTATATAAGTGCATGCAACATCTTCTATGAGTTGCCTCTGGTATAATGTTGCTCACAATCTTGTCAAGGCCCTGTATACAAAAACAATGAAACATTAGTAACCATTAGCAGTTTAAAATTCGAGAATCAAGCATAATTATGTAAGTAAAGTAGTTGTTGAATATGTCAGTAAAGTACCTTTTGTTGATTAGACATGATGGTCCATGGTCTAGAAGGTAGTGCCTCTTCTATGATTGTTCTCAAGTTGTGCAAGAAAAAAGGCCAACTGTCCTTGCATTCACCCTCTACTACTGCCAATGCCAATGGAAACAAGCCATTATTTCCAACTAAGGCAACTACTGAAATTAAAACACCACCATAGGGACCCTTCGAGTGACAACCATCTACCCCTATGAATGGCCTACATCCATTAATGAACCCTGCTTTCATTGCATCAAATGATATGAAAATTCGTTAGAACAATGGATACTGAGGAATGGTAAGGTCTGGTTCTTCTTCATCTTCTGAGACTAGGGTAGAGGGTAGGTCATAATTTATGACCACCACTCTACCAGGGTTTGTTTTGTTGATTTCCTTAGCATATGTTGGCAATAACACATATTGGCTCCCGTGATCACCCTCCTGCTCCTCCTTGCACCTCTTTCTGGCTCTATACAGTTGCATTCTTGAAGCCTCAATCCCAAACATTTTATTTAGTTTCACTTGCATAGTATCTAAGCCCATGTGTGGATTGTCCTTAAAACTTTCAACCATTTTTTTAGCAATCCAAGCTGATGTAGCTTCAGTGTTTGTGTTCATTCTGCTATATGTGTGAGTGGGTACTAAGGTTTTAATCTTGTAGGTGATCCTATCTGGAAGTGGAGATGCATGAATTCTCCAAGGGCAGCCCTCAGCAACATAATGGGCTGCCCTCAGCAACACAATGGGCTATTACTCTAGACTTCTCATTTTTGTCTCTTACTATCTTGAAACCAGTTTGCACTGTATAGTCCCTCAATGTAGCCCTGAAAGTATTCACTTCTGGAAAAATCATCCCTTCTTCCAATACAACTTCTCCATCTTGATTTATATATGGCTCTTTCCCATTTTAGGTACCATCATACTTCATGGCTGGAAACCTCATCTATTCATCATCTAGACAGTCTGCTTCATCATCATAATCATCATCAGTAGTAGAATATGCCACTTCATTATCACCAGATTGGTAATCATTAAGTTCAGCATCATCATCTTCACTTGAGCACTTATTATCATCATCACTTAAAATCTCATTGCCATCTAATTGGTTTTCATCCTCAGCAGTTGCATTCCAATCCCTATCCTCATCACTAAACCCATAAACATTGTCCTTATGGTACTCTTCATCTACTTCTATAGTATGGTAGTCTTGCTCTACATCTACAGCATCTACTCCATGATTTCCACCTCTACCATTTTCATTTCCAACATCACTTTTAAGTCCACCATTACTCATTCCATTCCAATAGAATATGCTATGTCAACATACAAGTTAATTGTTTTACTCCTACCTTGCACATAAAACATGTCTAGTACATCAAGATCATTTTCTATTAATCTTTTTGTGTCAGTACCAGGCATATCACAATGCAATGTGATTGCTATTGCTTCACTACAAGAAACGTGAGAGAGGACTGTTGCAGTTACATCCTTCAAGGCATCAATGTAGCAATGCATATTTGGGTCCACATCATACACTCTTCCCACTTTCCCTTTGTAGTTGATGATTAAATCAAAATAAGGAAATGCAGCCATACTGTGATTATAATGACGTACCAATTAATTCCTAACATGTACTATACTCAACAATTAATTGAAGGAAAGAAGAAAAAATAAAGAAAAGCCCTAATAAAATAAGCAAGCTTATACAATTAACTGAAGAAAATATGAAAACGTGAAGAAATCCCTAAATTACACTATAATTATACTAATATTAAACAATCATAAGTAAAACCCCAAAAAACAGAAATTCATCCTAAACAGACATCTCATGAATAACACCCAAAAAATCAGAAATTCATAAATTTTCAACAAATTCCTTTTTTCCAATCAAAAATTTTGCAAATCAAATAAAAGAACTAAACATGTAAGCTTCGAATAAATAAAATCCAAAAAGCCCTAAACATGTAAACAAAAATCTCATAAATAAAATCCAAAAAATCAGAAATTTATATTAAATCCCTATATTACACTATTATTATAGTAATATTCAACAAATTCCTTTTTTCCAATCAGAAATTTTGCAAATAAAATATAAACCCTAAATATATATTTTCGAAGAAACCCCTTTTCACATACATTTCATCAAATCAAACATAGAATAGAAACAAATTTGTAAGAAAAAAGATGGAAAAAAAAAAAAACGAAAATTATCAACTCAAATTAATCATATTCGAAGCTTACAGAGTTCTTAATCTTACCTGGAAGCCGTAACAACTTCTCACCGATGAAACTCATTTACATTGTGCACTGGTAACGACGATCGGTCCAAAATCGAACAGCTTCTTCTTCTTCTTCTTCTTCTTCTTCTTCTTTACACAGATCAACCTTGCTTCACATTCTTACTGTCGTCTCCCTCTCTCTGTTTAAAGAATTCGATTTGTATTGTGAATGTAACTTGATTAGGGATTTTGTGAACAAAGGGCTTTTTGGTCTTTTCACAACCAAAAGCAAGAATAACATGGTCATTTTCTATTGAATACTAACGTCGTTTGTGCAAAATAGACGGAATGGAAAAATCTTGACATTGTCAGGTGAGGGGGTTATTGCAATTATGCAAACTACATGGGAGGTCCCTGTATTTGTCGGAAATCTCAAGAGAGGTAAATATAATTTACCCAAAAAAAACCATTATAAAAAAGTTGTTGCTAAATAGTATATAAGTAGGGGTGTAAACTTGGCCCGGACTGACCCATGTCAAGCCTCGCAGGCTCCTGCCAAATTTGGGCCCGGTTAGCCCAACCCATGGTCCAAAAAATTAGACCCAGGCCCAGGGGGTATTTGGGCCTTGGACGGGCTGGGCCTGGGCATGGGCTCAAGCTTCGGCCAGCCTGAACATTTTTTTGTTTTATATTTTTTCTACTATTTTTTTTTTATTTTCCACTAAAAAAAATACTAAGTCTCAGGCGAGCCAAGCCTTAAGTGGGCTGATGGGCCGGGCCAAGTGAATCAGATTTCAAAATGATAGTCTAAGTCCAGACCTAAGTTCTCGAGCAGGACTCGGGCCCAAACGGACTGAGCCCACACTGTTCCACGGGTGGGCTTCGGCCCGCCCACGGGCCGCGCGCCATTTTTACAATCTTACATATAGGTAGGTAGCTTTGAAACAGAGTAAACAGTAGAGGCCGATAGGGGTAGTTGTAGTAAGTAATTGAGATCTTGAAGGATGGCGTGGAAGACGTAGCTACGAAGGAGTTGACGGACGAGCTCTGAACCGATGAAGCCACTTGCTCTTCAACCTGATCGAAAAATCTGAGGTGATGAGGTAAGGATATAGCTACGCTGCCATTGATCCACTCCCGTATCATAGAAGCGATGACGGATTCACCGCCGAGATATGTACTGAAGCTTCAAACCCCTTTAATCTGATATTTTCAGATCTGGCCATTGCGACGGATGTGTGTGGGCCTACGGTGGTCAGATCTTCTTAGATCTAGCGGAGCCACCAACAGATGAGTATAAAGAGTTGAGGCGGCGTCGGAAACGAGAGAGAGAGATGAGGAAGCAAGACGACAGTGGCGGAATCGCAGGGAACCCGACGGCGCTGATCTAACATCTCCGTCGCCGGAACGAGACGACGTCTTCAATTCGGATCTGAGCATCGGAGCAGAACTCAACAATTGTGTTTTGAAATTTTGAGAGAGAGAGAGAGAATGGGCTTTGTTGAATGGACTTCAATAGATTGTTATGCCTCCGTTGACTTTTTTATTTTTTTTTTAATTATTTTAGTTTGAGACTAAAAAGTTTAATTTGAAAAGAATTTTGTAATTTTTTTGATTTTTTAATTTTTTTTAATGAGATGTCTTCATAATAAATTATCAAACTGCTCTTTACATGTGTTTTACATGTCAACGAATTTGGATTGTCCTCCACGTCAGCTGCGTAATTGGACCAAAATTGTTTTGTTTTGTTTTTTGTTTTTTTTTCTTTGTTGGGTTTGGATTTGGCATATTTTGATTTTTTTTTTAAATTTATTTTTTTGTCATCTTTTTTTTTTTATATATTAATTAGTTCTTGTTCTTTAATTTATGTTTTTTTTCTTTGTTATTTTTATTGGTATACAATAACTTTTTTTTATTTTTCAAAAATAGGTTTTTATGTGTTTTATTTATTTGTAAATTACGTGACAAATGCTATTTTTTTTTTTTTTGAATGAGGCGTATTTTTGTCGGTTTTTTTTTAATTTACGTTTTTGTAATTTCTTTTTATTTGTATACATTAATTTGTTTCTATATTTCATGCAAAAAATTCTATAAAAAATTAAATAAATATTTTTATTCAAAATTTAGCCCTAAGTATATATATATATATATTTTTTTTTGCGTGAACTCATGAAATTACCAGCACGCAGAGGTCGTTAGAGAATTGAGCATCGGCAAAGCTCCGGCAACCCAAGTCACCGGAGAAGTGAGGCTCACAGCCGGAGATGGAGGAGTTGCAGCTGTTGACGACGGTGATGGTGGAGGAGTCAGTGGAGGTTACGGTGACATTGTCGAACGTGTTGCCATTGGCGACGAGGATAGCGTCGTCGCTGGGGAAGTCAAAGAGGTCCTCGACGACGAAATGGTCGGCTGCGAAGGCGGACTTAGTGTCGGAGTGTCGCTTTTCGGGTGTGAATTGGTACCCACCTTGGAAGAATTCTGGTGTAGTTTCCATGGAGTTATTTTTTGTTTTTTTCCTTCTTCTCTTTCTTTGATGCAAAATAAGGGGCACGAAGAAGGAGGAGAGGAGAGTGAGAGTATGTTGGTAAATTTACCCCAATAAGGGTTTGAACTTGCCCGTGATTTCTGTTTTGTCTCCATGTGGCCACATTAGCCTTTTTTGTCGGGATGTGGCTAATTTAGCCTCAACTTGCCTTCCCAAACACAGGCTATATAATGTTTGACTCTACAACGGGAAGAATGGGTAATTTGGTCATTTACTAAAAGCTTGTCCTTATGGATAGATTGATTTTGGCCGTAGATTTATGGACCAAAAAAATTTAAAATTAGACTGTTGGATCGTTTGAAATGAGTGTAAACTATATAACCATATCTATATATACATGATTAGTTTGGTTATTTTGTAGTAACTTGTCTTTCTGGACATTATTGTTTAGCGGGTGTATCTTTGGACAAAGAAAATTTAACTTTGGATTTATGAACCGAATGTCCCTAATTAAATGGGGTAAGTATTCAAACGAGAGTGATTTTCTCCTAAAATATAGATTTAGTTTCCATTTTTTTAAGTTAAATCTAAAGTTGAGATTTTTGATTTTTTAAATAGCTGCATGACTAAATGGTTTATTAGAAATTAAATTGGACTAATTAAAAAATCTTTCTTTTTGATTTTATCATAATTATTTTATGAGAAATCATTAAATACTGCATATCATGATAATTACATAATCTATATATTATATTAGGGGTGATCATAGATCTGTCCAACACATTCAACCCGACCGATCCGATCTAACCTGACTGATTTTGGACGAATGTATGTCTTTTGGCGAACGGATATGGATGAAATTTTTCAAAATTCGTTAATATGATTCGGATGGCGTATCAACCATCTCGCATTCACATAAATCCGATCCGCCCGTAGATGAAATTCAAAACAAAAATAAAAGGGAATTGTTAACAAGTAACAATATAGAGCAGAAATAATAAAATATATATTTTTGTGAAAATAGAAAACAATATAAAAATATGCATGTGAGGTGCCATGGCCTATTATAATACGTATTTTTTCAAATTACTAGTTATTGGAGATGTAAACCTAATGAATTATAATTTGAAAAAATGTCCAAAATTTGTAAAGTTTAAACCGCCAAACCGATCTCATCCATCTGTCAATCCATACAGCCCATTCAATCTGTATCTGCCAACCGGTGGACAGATGCAGATTGATTTTTTTCAATATGTCTAGTGTCGAATGAATGGCAGATGACGGATGGGATGCCACCTGACCTAGCGCAATCCGCGATCACCCCTATATTATGGCCTATTTTGGAAAACAGGTAAAAGTTGACTTTTTGATTTGATTTTATTTTTTCAAACGGACAAAAAGTAGAGAAATAATATAAACTAGAAAAACCAAATAACCAATAAGTTAGCTTTTAACCTAGTTGTCACAAGAGGCCTATATAAGCAAAATGAGGTTTTTAACCACAAGCATTGTGGAAATTTCAATATATCAAACTAAAATTTCTAATTTTTTGATTTTAAATAATTAAAAAAAATCTTCTATAGCTCTCATTCAAGAAAAAAAATTAATATTCCTTCGTTTATGACTTTTAAATGGAAAATATATCAAATATATAAAATAAAATGGAAAAGTATACTAATCCATTTCAAAATTTAAATTTGAGGGGCAGTAAATATGGAAAGCAATCCATTAATTTAAATTTAAAATTATAATGATTCATCCCATAATTTATAAGTTTTAAATAATGATTTATCCCGTGATTTATCTATATCTATATACTATTATAATTGTAAAACGTTGTCATCTCATTAAGGTTGAAAGTTGCAATTCTCTTTTCTTATTTTTTTGATTTTGTTTAATTTTTGTTAATATGTGTCACTATATGATTGGTCTATAAATTAATTTTATATTCTTAAAATAAAATTTCAAATTTGAATTCTTACTTAAATTATGTTACTATAATTGGAATGAGATCAATATTCATTCCTTAAATAATGCATCATTTATTAAATTATAAAATAAAATTTCAAATTTAAATTATTCTTCAAATTATATTAATTACCATTGAAATGAGATAAATATTCACATGTGTCATTATATATTTATT